AAAGAAAAAAAATGATATTAAATTTATAAAGGCTATTGAAATTCACAAAATGAATGGTGTAGATTCGTTTTTGGAAGGCACTCATTTTGACTCATATAAATACCACAAACATAGTTTTCTAGAAGTGTCATTGCATTATACTATGATACAACCGTTGCATTGGAAATAAACCTTAAAAAAATAAAAATAAAAAAAAGAGGAGAAAATATTTTGGAGCCCTAAAATGTTCCTTTGAACAATGTCTTAATAATATCCAAGGGTCTATTTTTCATAGGCACTTCTAGAACACATAATTATTTTAATTATTTATTTATTTGTTGCTAAGTTGAATAGGTTATATCTCAAAATTTGGGATCTCGAAAATACTTGTACGTGGCGTTTTTCTTGAACTTAATATAATTTTTGGGTCATTCTAATTTGTTTGCGGAGAACACGTCTTGTTTGAGCTTCCTAAAACTCTTTTGAGGGGCATTTCTTTTGTTTTGTATTTGGTTTTGAAAAAATTGGTGATCCGGATTGAAATTGGTGATCCGGATCGAAATTGGTCAATCCGATCAAGAATCAGTCATGCCGATCCAAATTATGTAAAATATTAGGAATCAAGTGGCTCCCTTATGAACTGGTCGGTTCCCTTATAGAACGGGCATTTCCAGTATTGTGAAAAAAACGGCTAGAACCAGCCCACTTTTTTTATTTTTTTATTTTTTAATGACTAGAACTGTTCAGTTCGGATCGGTTCTCTGACAAGAACTAACCACACTTAATCTTTTAAATTTCTAATTTTGTAGACAGAATCATCGATCTGCCAAACCGGAACGAAAATCTGGAGGGTTGATCCCAGCCATTGATCCGTTTTTTAAAACCTTGGATTCGAATGAAAAAAGTCTCAATGGAAAAACTTTCATATAAAAGTACTTTTGTACATGTATGGAGGCTTTTTCACACAAAGTGGTCCATTTTACGGTAAATTATACTGTTACGGAGTTAATTGGTTTGAAAAAAACTCCATACCTTCGTACATGGGAAGTAATTTCATATGAATTTTTTCATGTAAACCTTTTCATGCGAAGCAACGTACCCTAAATTTGGTACATGCTTTCCTATTGGCCCTAATGAGAAAATTCATTAGAAAATTTGAAAGGAAATTGAAAAGTGATTTTCTTGAACTCTAAGACACAAGTCAACCATTTCACGTGTGGCTAGATCTAGCCCTTTAATAACTCAAAATTAGTTTTTCCTTTTAAAATTATTCATTAATGAGACAACCTACAAATTTTAGGGTAAAATGAATATGTAGAGCCTCCATCTAATACTATATTTTCGTAAATTGTATTGCTTGTGTTCACTGTGTTTTTTTCTCTAAAACAAATCATCTTATCTTATGGGTCTTTGATGGAACCAAGAGTTATGTGTGCGCCAAATTTGGACCAAATTTACTACCCATGAGGCTCCAACATAGGGTAGTATGGATACTGTTTTTCACCCTTTTTCGGAATCTTCAATCGGGATTGGGAATCATTCGAGGACGAATTGGTTCCAACAAGTATATGATCTGAGTCCAAGTCGGTGTTGGATTGCTGGTTCCCTCAGTGAACTTTGCCATCTGGATCGGCCCATTTTCATATATTATATTTTTTTGTTTTTTATTTTTAAAGTTTTTATACACCAATTTTCAACTAAGAGAATTAGTTGGATCATCGATCTGGATCGAAGTTTGGCTAATCCAAATGGATTTACTGGATGGCTAGCTCGCCTGCAAGATTAGGTACTGTTTTATCTAGCTCCACACTCCCTAATCGTGCACAGCCCATCTCTAACTTTTTATCTAATGGAAAAAATTTATTTAGAACAAAGGCTATAAACAATAAAATTTGAGACCAGCTTAAAAAATTCACTAGAAGAGGTTGTTTTGATGCTCAAATATACTAAAATTGATCATCTTGACATCAAGATGCATGGACATGAAAAAAAAAATAGATTTCAAGTTTTGGGAGTAGTGCATGTTGTCACGTATTTTTTGACCGTCAAGTTTTCATAGATCTGTACTATTTTTTAAGCTTTAAATTTTATGGTTAAATATGAAAATATATTTTACGACACGGTTTCTATGTTGCAGGCCCGCATATTGCATAAATGTGGGCTTGGCAATAAATATACTTTTAAGAATATAATTTCATCCTAATTTTTAGATAATATATAATCACTAACATGGAGATCATGAATATGAAACAAATAAAATAAAATTAAAAACTATAAATAATAATTATATTGAGAAAACATTTGGACAATCAGTTACAATTATTTTTTGATGGATCACCTATTTGCATCCATCTTTAAGATGGATGATTTATACCTTTGGACTGCATATTGTAGAAATGCGGTCCAGCCCACATGAAATAATTTTCCTATATTTGAAGGCTATCACAAAGATTTATGGTGTTGAATCTAATTTCTCGATACTATTTGAAGGTGCATTTTACTTTGATTGTTTAGAACCTGACTTTGTATAAACTACACCCTTTATCTAATATGCATATATTCTCTTAACATCTTTCTCTAATCTTACTAGGGGTGGCAACAGGTTGGACCCGGACTTGAATGGGACATGGACTTCAACTTAGACCCGATTGGACTTGATTGGACCTGGACTCGGACCCACATAGTGCTCAAGTCCAATTTTGGATCTAGATCTGACTTGCCTGGTCTAATACTCAATTCTTAGACCCATATCCGGACCCAGGTTGGGTCCGGACGTCAAATCCTAGGTCAGGGCTGGGTCCGGGGCCGGGTCCATTCTCCTTTCCCCGGTGTTCGCAAAATCGAACAGAAACAGTTAACAAGACATGGGCCCATAAACAGTTTAACCGGCCTAACTCGTAGATCGGCCGATTTAACCGTTCTAACCGGGCAAGTCCCAAGCGGTCAAAAAAGTGTTGAAAAAAAAAAAATGATAAAAAAAAAAAAATGTTAAAATATGAAAAGCATGTAAAGAATGATTAAAACAAAATACATTCATATGAAGTTAAAAATTAATGAAAAACTAGATTTTAACAAATAGATTTTTAAATTAAAAAAATATTAATCATAAAAATAATTTTTAATTTTTACTATAATCTAAAAAATATTAAAAAACGATCACCTAAACGGCCCAAAACTGGAATCGGTCAATCCAACAAAGTCGTTGGCCGGTTTTTATAACAATGCCTTTCCCTGCCCAAAAAAATGTGTATCCTCCTTTTCAATCTATCTCTAACTGTTTGATCCACTGTTACATCTGATTACTCGAGTAATCTCTCTCTCTCTCTCAGCTGGCTCGTTTCACCATCCCCACATTTCGTCCCCAATGTTATGCTTTCAAAACCCCAACTTTCTCAGTCTTTTCTCACCCTCTGAGTTCCCATTCTCTCTCCTCACCCATGGAAACTCTCACCCAATTACCCACTCCCTTCTCTCTCCAGGAAACCTTGGTGACGTCACCATATTCTCAGTTACACTACAAAACCTTACTTCACTCCTGCTCCACCATTCCCCACCTCAGACAAACCCATGCCCAAATGATAAAAACCGGATTAATCAATAATAACTCTCTATTCAACTCTCTGCTCACTGCCTATTCAAGAAGCTCGTCTCCTAAAGAAGCATTCTCTCTTTACAATTCAACAAGGAGATGTGGGGCTTCCATGAACCAGTTTGGCTTCCCACCTTTACTGAAGGCGATTGCAATTTGTTCAGGTTGGAAAGAAGGTAGAGAGATTCATGGGTATATTTGTAAATTGGGTTTTGAATTTGATCCCTTCATAGTTACTGGTCTGATCAAGATGTATGCGTTTTGTGGTGAAATATTCAAAGCACGAAAGTTATTTGATAAAATGCCTGAAAGAGATGTCATCACATGGAGTGTGATGATCGATGCATACACGAAATTGGGTTTCTATGAAGAGGCTTTTATGCTCTTCAGAGAGATGAGGAGGGCCAAAATAGAACCCGATAAGGTGGTTCTTTCAAGCGTGCTCTCAGCTTCAGGGCAAGCTAGAAATCTGGAATTAGGAAAGGAAATTCATAGCTATGTGCGACAAAAGGGTTTAGGTGGAATTGATCTACATTTAGAAGGGGCATTGGTGCATATGTACACTAGTTGTGGTAGCATGGAACAAGCGCGAGAGATTTTCAATAGAATGGCTCATAAGAGCTTGGCCTCATGGACCGCCATGGTGTTCGGATATTGTAAGGTTGGAAAGGTTGAAACTGCACGTTCTCTCTTTAATGAGATGCCTGAGAAAGACCTGGTTTCTTGGAGTGCTATGCTAGCAGGCTATGTTGAAAGTGAAAGGCCTAATGATGGTCTTAAGCTCTTTCAAGAAATGCAACTCTCGGACATAAGACCTGACCAAATCACCATCTTGAGCGTTTTGTCTGCCTGTTCAGCTCTAGGGGCCCTAGACCAAGGCAGGTGGGCTCACAGATTCATAGACTCAAATGGATTCAATAATACCATGTCAGTGAACAATGCACTAATCGATATGTATGCCAAATGTGGTAGCCTCGAGGGATCGAAACAAGTCTTTGATAACATGCCTGAGCGAAATGTGGTTTCTTGGACCTCTATGATAAATGGATATGCAATGCATGGTGATGGTGAAGCTGCATTAGAACTTTTCTATAGAATGCGAAATGAGGCGGTTGAGCCTAATGAGGTCACGTTTGTCGGGGTCCTGTACGCTTGTAGCCATGCAGGGTTGGTGACTCAGGGTCTTCAAATCTTCAAAGAAATGAAGGAGGACTACAAACTTGTGCCTTGGCATGAGCACTATGGTTGTGTGGCTGATCTACTGGGGAGAGCTGGGCTCTTAGGCCAAGCTCAAGAATTGATCGAGTCCATGCCTTTGAGGCCTAATGTGATTGTTTGGGGTTCCCTTTTAGGAGCCTGTAAGATCCATGGCAATACGAAGCTAGGGGAATTGGCTGCAAAGAAGTTGTTAGAATTAGATCCTGACCATGATGGGGCTCATGTGCTCCTATCTAACATTTATGCAAAGTTTGGAAGGTGGGACGAAGCTTTAGGAGTGAGAAAGATGATGAAGAAGAAAGGGGTCTTAAAGGAGCCTGGTTTCAGTTGGATAGAGCTGAAGAGCATGACCCATGAGTTTGTAGTGGGAGATAGGTCACACCCACAAATTGATTTGATATATGATAAATTGGATGAGATTTTTAGGGTTCTAATATCAATTGGGTATTCTCCAAACACTTCAAATGTGCTTGTAGATTTGGAAGAGGATAAGAAGAGGGAGGCCCTATTGTTGCACAGTGAAAAGCTTGCTGTTTCATTTGGGCTTCTCAATTTCGATCATGGCCTATGTATGAGAATTGTGAAGAACCTTAGGATTTGTGAGGATTGTCATTGCTTTATGAAGCTAATCTCCAAGGCTTTTGATAGGGAGATAATTCTGAGGGATAGACACAGGTTCCACCATTTCAAGAATGGGACATGTTCATGTAAAGATTATTGGTGAACCTAATTATTTTTTAGTACTTTAAAATGATGGTTAAATACATAATTAAGTCAAAGGTTCTTTGAACATGCACGGTGAGGAATAGAATTTGAATGTAAGTCTTTTTTTGGAAAAGATTGCATATAAATATTTAAAAATGGAATTGTATATTATTTTTGGACACGGTTAGCATGTGGCCAGCCCGCATATTATAGTAATGCAGGGTCGGCAATAAATATATTTTTTAAATATAATTTGATCTCAATTTTTAGATAATATATAATCTTTAATGCGAGGACATGAATATGAATAAATAAATAAATTTTGAAAACTACAAATAATAATTATATCAAAAAACATTTGGATTGTTAGTTACTAGATGGACCACCTATTTGTATCCATCTTTGAGATGGATGCTTTATACCTTTGGACGGACCACACATTGTAGAAATGCAGTCCAACTTGCATATTGTTCTTTATTTTTTAGTACAAGAGGTCACAATCATATTAATTATTGTATGTTTAATCCAATAAATGAAAGTTTATCAAAACATTTGAAAATTTTTAGTTTGGACAATGAGCCAAGACAATGATACATCTTCAACCATTTCCAAATATAATCATCAATGATGATTGTGATTTTTTTATATCAAAAGTTAATAGTTGCATATTTTTAAAATTTGTAACCAAAAGTAAATGGTCTTATCTGTTTGTATGCAACACTTGCTTCAAAATGAAGTTTCATATGACTCTGACACTCGCAATGTGAAGTTCATTGGACCCAAATAATTGATAGACGGTGCAAGAAAATCCTTAAAAACATATTTTTAATTTATTTATATTTTTAGTATTATCATATTAGTTATCATCTTGTCAAGACAATAAGGGATAGAATTTGAAATTAATATATTTTAAGGAGAATTGAGATGCAGCTTCATTAGGTGATAAGACGAGCAAAAATAAGCTTCGGTGGATTGGTCATGTGTAGTGCATATCCAATGCGTCAATTGTTAAGAAGTGCATGTTTGTTCAAGTGGAAAGTTAAAAAAAAGTAAAAAATAAGCCTAAAAGTATATGTTTGGAAGTAGTGAGAAAATATTTAAGACCTTGTAGTCTCACAAAAAGTATGATCTTTAAAAAAGCAGAATGATAGACCAATATTCGTTAACTGACCCACGAAAAATATGATCTTTAAAAAAACAATGATAAACCAATATTCGTTAACCGACCCAAATAGTTAGGTAAAAGCTCTTATCAATGAATCTTAAAAAATTTAGATAAAAAAGTCCATCTTTGAAATAAATTTTAGAAAAAAAACACGTGTGGATATAAACCTTTTATTTGCTTTTATACGTTAGTATATGCCATGATACCATATATGTCGGCCTTTTATCTCATGAGTGGAAGCCTACTAAGTCATAAAAAATGAATCCCTACTACCTTATCATTATGCCAGTCAAAAGACCTAATCGTCAGTATGAATAAATATTGAATGAGCACATGGTGAATGATTTCTACGTTATAATAGTGAGGTTTAATGAAGAACGACAAAGGACTGCGTATACTATGCTCTCGCAGGAGCGTAGTGTACATCTACTCCCTCGGTTAGAAGACTTACTTGAGAGTAATTTTTTTTAATATAAAATTTTAAAACCACCTAAGGATCACTAGATGATGATTATTGAAAGAAAAAAGAGAATTTAAATTTTGGGTTTATAACATTAAGATCCCACCCTGCAATCTATTCAAACTTTGGACATTATTGTTTTCAAGTGAGTAGAGAGTACAAATAGTATTTGTGTTTTTTTTGTTGAGGTTAATGTATGGGTTGAAGAGGTTGCATCACTAAAATTAATCCAAAATGGAGTTTTACCCAAGGGAGAAAATAGACCATAGATACGGATGAGCACAAGAGCATAAAGAAGACTAGAGAGGGTTTTTTTTTGGTCTACCGGACAAAAAGTTGTAAAGAGAGAAAGTGATAGCTTCCAACGTCTTCCATACAAAAATATTTGGCCCACTTGCTCCCCTATAATCATATAAATCTCTCTCCTTTTTAAAGATGGAGAAAAGCAATACTCAAAGGAGAAAGGGAGGAGACAAAATTAGTGAATAAGATGGTGTTTCAAAAATCCGAATCGGCTCTTATTTTGATTCAATCAGTTTGACTCTACCGTTGAGAAGCTACCATGATAGTAGATATACTTGTTAAAAAGGCAATCTCTTTTTTTTATACTAGAATTTGGCCTTCTAGATTGTCAATATGATTTGTATTTCTTCTATTCTTATTAATAAAAATGGTTAGACGGCTTTCTCCCCCACTTGCTTACCCCAAAAAAAAAAAGTTTGACTCGACCGATTTTCAAGCCAATTGAGTTGTAGGTAATGAAGAAGTAAGAAAATAAAATAGGCCGATTCAAGGATTTGTGGAATCGGAATCACTAACCTAATGTTTTGTGGAATCGGAATCACTAACCTAATGTTTTTTATCGGATTCTAGCAATTCTGAGTTGAATCAGCGTTTTTTTTTACCACTTTTATGGCCTGACTTTGATGCTTGTTGCTAGAGTCCCTGCCATATTTCCTTTTAGCCCTTACATGCAAGAATGTGTATCTTTTTTATCCCCCCAATTGTATAAAGGAAAAAGTTTATATAAGGATGCGACCTTATAATGTAGAACTACGGATGTATCTTAAAAATCCATCGGAAAAGGTAGTTTTAATGTTGAAAAACCCTTTGATTGATCATCTCGACATTGAGATGTATGATCATGAAAAATAAAAATATTTTAAGTATAAAAAATAGTGCATTTTACAACATATTATATATACCATCAATTTTCAAGATTTTCATATGTTTATAGATCTGCTTGATTTTAACCATTTTTTAAATTTAAAATTTTATAATTAGATATAAAAATAGATTTTGATATAATTCTAAAAACATTTTATATCAAAATTATATACCATGATAAAATTTAAAAGTACACCTTACCTCTACACCGACAGATGCGCATCCGTATGCAAACTGCACAGTTGTATAAATCTATAGATCCTTCTTGTTTCATATTCCAAATTCATCATTGGCCTCTCTCTCTCTCTCATAACCCCAGGTCAACATGGGAAATTCCCCTAATGAGTTTGCATTTCATTTTCCCTGTCCTTTTAGATGGTGCGTCTCTTTCATAACCCCAGGTCAACATGGGAAATTCCCCTAATGAGTTTGCATTTCATTTTCCCTGTCCTTTTAGATGGGGAGGGGTTGGGGGGGGGGGGGGTATTGTTGTGGTCCTTAGGACTAGCAGTAACTGTAGTTTTTTTACAAAAAAAAAAAA